GGGGCAGCTCGCTTCGGCGAAGGGCAAAGCCTCCCATCCCTCTCGCAAACGGTAGAAAAAACACGCCCCAGAACGCAAAACCCGAGGGGGAGAAAAAAGAAAAGGGTGTATTATTGTCTTTTTTCATAGTCTTTTTGTCCTCGTCATGATGATAGCGGCCAGAGCCCGTCGTTCGGCGTTAAACCCACCCTGCTCTGGTTCCTGGGCAGCCGAGTTGGGGCCACGTCGGAGCACAAGTTGCATTCACTCCGTGCAAGGTCCAGCAGGGCACAGATGCCTTTGGGGCTGGAGCAGAGTGTGTCCTATGCTACTCCATGGTGTCCCCGTCTCCTTTTTTTTTTTTGAGGGGGTCTGAGCTAGTGTGTCGATGAATATGTGACTCCGTGTAGGATATTCTGGTGATTGAGTCCTGGAATGTGATAAAAATCTGTATCGCGTGGAAATCTTGAAATAAGTTCTGTTAGACATCACCCTGCTCTTCAAACAAATCATGCTGTCAGCGTGTTACTGACGTGAAGGGCTCCGAGGTGGGCATTTCAGTGGGAAAGCCATTAAGCTTTTTACTTGAAGGAGCCCTGAATACTAGACTGCAATTATAAGGAAACAGTGTAATTAGATTCAGCCTAATGTGGAGAATGAAAATATTTCAGTTGGCAAATTGCAGTTCCTTTTTTTAGGGAATTCCTGTGAAGCTCAAGTGTCTTAGCCAGTCGGCTGAAAACTGTGTCTTTTCACTCGCGCTTCCCGAGCTGCGCGCCAGAACGACACCACCTGTGAGCAGCTTGTCCTGTTTTAAAAGCCATACAAATAGTTGTGCGTTTCCTCATCTAGAGCAGTGATATGTCACTGCAGCGGGAAATTTCTCTGAACTCTCAGCACTGGTGGATGCGCTCAACAGCTTTGTACCATGGCGTGTGTACTTAGAACAAGTTTAGCTCAAGTCCCCAGGGCTGGGTGATTTTTGTACCTGATGGAAGACCTGCAGTGGGTCAGAAGTGCCCCCCTTCCACTGCGAACGTTTGTTGAAGGATTTGTCTACGTTGAAATTGAGGTGACTGCAACTCCTGCAGGCACAGCTGAGCTATATGGGATATGCAACACATAGAGCAGTGCTGAGCCCCGTGGGCTCCGTGTACTGCGTGTGTAGCTGTCAGGGTCTCAGCCTTCTCGTTTAAAATTAGCTCGAGGGTGTTTAGGTGGTGCTGCCATCTCAGAGCTCTGATGCTTTTGATTGAGACATCCTGAAACCATCCGTCAATGAAGCCAGCGTGGTCTGTGTCTAGCTCGGACCCTGAGACGTGGGAATACTGTACAGTTTTCGAGTCCAAAGGGCAGCTG